GCACCAGAGGTGCAATAAGAAAATATGCTAACACTTTACTTTAAGTCCCCCTATTTAGCATTATAAGCATTATATAAATCTTTAGTTAAGCCTTTATACCACACAATAATATAGGTATTTGCAGGCATAAGGATATTTGTAGGTATTTATTAAGGAATAGTATTTCTCAACAATTATAACTTCTCCTATTTAGCCATAATTGATATTATTACAGATGTGTTTTACCATGTTGTCATTCATTATCTATTTACAGACCAGACTCTACTCAAGGCTGACTACAGCAGCATTTATATCTCATTACCACTACATTATAATGTGATATAAACACTCTATTGAATGTTAACATACTGCTTATGAATGCTAAATAGGGGGGCTTAGAGTGAAGTGTAATCAGGTAGCCGGGTGTGCACAGAGGAGGGGAAGGAGAGGCTTGGTAGGCTGTCTTGTCTATCATTAATGATTGAGTGGCAAGCACACACGTACAAACACGCAGAGCCAAAACAGGTATTCACGTAAAACATACTCAGCACGCTGTAAATGAACACAAAAGATAAATCAGCAACCTCTCTTTTCTCTGCGAGTCATACTGATAACATTCATATCCGCAAATGCACTTAAGGACACTCACGGACACCTGGAGTGAGAGTATAATCTTTTAGCATATGAGAACACATACTGAAAGTGACACACACCCACCATAAGTGAGGTTGTGCAATCTATTAGAGTGGGGGTGACTGTGGGTCAAACACTGACACGGAGCCAGCAGACAAAGACTGGTGGTCAATATCTAATTAGAAGCATGAGAGAAGGGTGACAACAGTTCCTCTCTCTCTCTCCCTCTCTCTCACTCTCTCTCTCTCATGCTCTCTGTTTCTCTCTCTCTCATTCACTCTCAGTCCCAATCTCCACCTCCCTTTCTCACTCTTTACCTGTCTCTGCTTCTCACCTCCCACTGACGTCTCCCTTTCCATGTGCCCAGTCACGTCTGTCATCCACCCCCTTCACATCCATCTCTCTGTGTCTTTACTTTTCACCACATATCGTTTTGTTTGTATCTCCTGTCCACCTCCCTACCAACCACTTCTATTGTCTGGGCATTTGTGTATGTGTGTGTGTGCATGTGCGAACGTGACAGAGAGCGATAGATCTGTGTGTGTCTATATTTCTATTAGCAATTTAAGCATGCATACACTCAGAAGAGCAGGTGCGCTTTTGAGCTGACAATGGTCCCTAATTCAGTCTGTGGAAAAAACTAACCAGTAGCCACAATCTATTAATCCATACTAACACACCTGCCAGTCTGTCATCTTGAGACTATGGCACCAAATTGACACTTGAATACAAGGTAAATCAGTAACTTCCATGTCATTCAACACCTTTGATCTTACATAGCCAGCATTCATTCACTTAATCGCCAATGAATAATATATACATATAATACATGTATGTTCCAACACACCCCCACACATGCACACATTAAGACCCCCCCCCCCCCACACACACACACACACACACACACACACACACACACATATCCAGGGTGTGTCTCAGAGGGGATGAGCAGCAGTACTTTTCCACTGCATCAGTTTCGGCTCTGTGCATCCCTACCTCACCAGGCCTGCCTGGTCTTGCTGCAGCAAGAGATTTGATCGGCTGTTCTTTTGTTGCAGAACTCTCTATGTTTGCATGTATGTGTGTGTGTGTGTGTGCATTTGAAGTCATGTCAAACAGCTCCCTCCCACTGACATACTACTCTCTGCCTGACATGCTTGAACGAATGGTTTCATTGTTTGCTTTGAATTCAGAAGTGGCTGTTGAGTAGCCCGTGCTCAGTGGTTAAGTGCGTGAGAGTTGTCTTCCTCATGTGGCTTCAAGAAACATTTTTTTATGACGACAAACCAGACAACAAACCAGAAAGACTGGTTTTTTATCAATGTACAATCTGGAATGTATGGATGTGATTTCACAAGAGCGGTTTGATTACAACTCAAGTGGGAAAGGCAGTGGCAAGTTGATATTTGTTAGTCACATTTAGTCCCACTGCAGGTGTGTGTGTTTTGGTGTGGTATGGGTGTGTGTTTGTCAATCAGCATGAGTGGAGACCTTTTGCAAATATACTAGTTTAAAGTTAGAATTTGAACAATGGACCCACTTAGAAACATACTTTTAAGCACTATATTTAAGGCCAACTCTTTGTCGTCCATATCTGTGTTATAATCTCAGATGACAACAGAACAGTCAAGTTACTTGAACATTTTGCACTCCTGAAAATGTCGCTACAGTATCGTACCACCAGGGGGTGTTTGCCTTATTTCACTGAATTTTAGGACACAGTCCAAGTCAAGTTAGATTTTATTTATATCACAAATCACAAATTTGCCTCAAGGGGCTCAACAATATGTACAAGATTACAATACCATCTGTCCTTAAACAAGGTGAAACTCTGGAGATGAGAAAAAATGAAATCAAACCTCAGGAAGAGCAGCAGAGGAGGAATCCCTCATCCAGGACGGACTGACATGCAATAAATATCTTATGTACAGAATGGAGCAACAAAGTAGATTTACAGTGTCAACATTCAGGGTGACAGCATTATAGTTCGGAAACATTAATGAAGACTATAGTCTTGGAGCAACATCCAGGTGCTGCCAACAGACAGGACCTGAGCAACACAACCATCTCTCCACCATGAAGACCTGGATAAGTACATTATTCACACATCCAGAAGAAGAAAACAAACAAACAGAGGGAGAGAGCGAGACAAGGAGTCAGATAGTCTGATGTTAGCAGGGAGGTTGTTACAGACGAAGGGGGCATGGTAGGAAAAGACTCTGCAGCCTGCTGACATCTTCCTAACTCTGGGGAAAGACCTTGCATTCGAAGAGCACGGGAGGGAATATAAGGTTGAAGGAGATCAGACAGTGTATGAAGAGGCCTGTCATTTAGGATTTTGTAAGTCGTCAAAAGCACCTTAGAAGCACCTTAAAGTCTCAGGAGCCAGTAAAGGGAAGCTAAATATTCTGCATGTAGTTAAAATTCTAGCTGCAGCATTCTGAACCACTTGAAGATTTGTAGGCAGGGGCAGGGCTGAAAACAACACATTACAGCAATAGACAGAAAATATTCAATTCTAACTATGTTACATAGGTGAAAAATGGTCTTTGTGATGTTTCTAGGGTAGGATCAGATGTAACGCCAAGGTTCTTGGCTGTCTTACTTTGATAAATCACACAGTTGTCAAGGGTTACTGTTACTTGGTCAAATTTGTGTCTATGTTGGGATGGGCCAGTGACAAGCAACTCAGTTTTTGCTTTGCAGAAGCAGGAAAAAATTCTGACATCCAGCTTCATAGCAGTCAATAAGGCCTCTAATTTCATCATTTTAGAGGTATCATTAGCTTTTACAGGAAGATTCAGCTGAGTATCATCAGCGTATCAGTGGACATTAATTCTATGACTGTGTATAATTTGGCCAAGAGGTGAAATAAAGAGAGAATAAGAATAAAGAAAGAAAAGCAGCGGACCAAGAACAGAGCTCTGGGGTACTCCATATTTCCCAAAACCCACTACTCTGATCTTCTGACACACATAACTTAATCTTATATTAAGATAATTGTTGTCATGGATGATCAGTTGATAGGTATTGATGTTTATGTCTGATCCAAGGTAAATTTATGTGACTTTATTATCAGCTGGACTCTGCTACTCTGTTATCTGTCATGCTGTACACCCCTGCCTGGATTCATCAGTGTATATTTGGCTACATTGATCCGCCACCAAGGGCAGTTCCTTGATGACTCAGTTGTGTCAATGAAAGGCCAGTCCATGGGGACCCACTCACACCTCCTGGGAGGGATTCTTGCCTCTCTTTGTCACCTCTGACCTTTGATGAGGGACATTTGTATTGATGTGGCCCAGCGGTCAGGCTGCTCTCCTTCCGGACGACAAGCTAGTTTTACAGTTACAGTGCTAGAAGGACTAGAACGTGCAGCCCTGGAGAAATTGTGGTTATTAATAGGCCACTCACATCTAGTTTAACAACATAAGTCAATTTCTGAGGGTTATAGTAAATGGTGTACCAGGAACAACAGGCAGGCGGAAGAGGACGAGGACATTTGATGTGACTGTGTGTGCATTCATGTGTGTATGTGGGACTTAATTTTTTTGTAATCTTGGCATCAAAGTGTCTCTGATCTAATAGCATAGAACATACTAGAATCTAATCAAAAAGCCTTTGATGAGGCTATAAACATAGTTTGTCTGCTCTCTCTCTCTCTCTCTCTCTCTCTCTCTTTCTCTCTCTCTCTCTCTCTCTCTCCCATGTCTTTAATACTCACTGCCAGATAAAAAAAAGAAAGGCAGCAGGAAGCATTTAGTTAAAACCTACAGGTTAAACCATTTGCACTTGGTTATGTTTGATGTGTCCATCAGGCTGTTGTGGACATCAGAACATCAGAGCAAGATTTATTTGATCAGATGGATATGGCAGAGCAGACTGCAGGGGCAGTTGTTAATGTGTGTTGATAGTGCACTCGAGCAAAACAGACCTACCAGGGTAATGCATTTCCCTTTCATGTCACAATGATTCTTATGATACTAGGTTTTTATGTTAATGCTTTTCATCTAATATCTTCCTCATAAACTCAGAATAATTGACATTATTACCAACTGAGAAATGCAGGTGACTTCTCAAGGCCATTTCACCGGGATACGATGCTATTTACTGACAGAGAGAAATCTCAAGGGCAATTCAATAAAGCCCACTGGCTTTATTTCTGTTGCAGTCAGTGACTGATAAATACTGTTTGAAAGCCAGGCAAGACAGCTCTCTGAATAAAGAGGGTATGTAATGCACTTTCAGAGACGAAGTATAGTTTTTAGTTAATACAATGTTCATGTACAAGCCCAGAGAACGGCTAAGATTATATACAAAGGCGCACAGGCCACTATCTCCTTAATCTAGTCCGAAGGCATGTATAAAACATGTGTGTGTGTCTGTAGTATGGGCGGTCAGACAGTTACCGCGTTGCCACCACACAGGACAAAGATGACCGATCCCCCAAGAAGAAGAAGGCGGGGGCCAAGGACATGGATGACCTGAAGAAGGAAGTGCCCATTGTAAGTAAAACCTTTAATCTCTGAATCCTTGTGGAACTGAGTGTTGTTATAAAGTCAATCAAAATGATTTTCAACTTTGAAGAACATCTTCTTGCAGGTTGTAGTAAATGAAAGTGAACTGACGCCAATTTTTGTTGGAGAGAAGGAAAATCTCATACAGGCCAAATTAATGTATTTTTGCTGGTAAGAGGGTTGACTTGTTGTCAGGAGGTCATCACTTTGATCTTACACCTCAGCGCAAGAAACTGACACCAGGGTCGCCATATCTGGCTGCCCTAACACTCTTATCTCTCAGGTGAACTGCATGCATGGAGTAAATTTCTAATTACCTTGTATGCCATTAAATTACTGATATCCTAAAAATGCAACAAAGCTCAAAACAATTTTAATCTGGAAACTTTCTACTATTTTTTCCTGCATGCAAAGAAATGGTAAATAAACGTATTGAACCATGCAGAGTACTGATTGTCCCTGTATATTTCTTTTCAGACGGAACATAAGATGTCTGTAGAGGAAGTATGCAGGAAATTCCAGACTGACATTGTCCAGGTGAGTTTATGATTTCAGGTTCTGTCAGCATGTACTGTCTATGTATCTATCTGTCTTTGGTGTGAGTCTGTTTTTCCGGTTGTCCACTAGATGGCATGAGAGTACCTTCAATGATTTATTACAGTTTTTGACAATCACAAGCCAACAGTCAACTAGACTCAAAAGTCATAATAAAGATATGTGAGAATGTTAACAAACTGTAGACCCACTGCCTTTCTCTGCTAACTCTACATCTCACCTCCTCTCTGTTCCCTCCAGGGACTGACCAATGCCAAGGCAGCAGAGTTTCTGATCAGGGATGGTCCCAATGCTCTCACCCCTCCTCCCACCACTCCGGAATGGGTCAAGTTCTGTCGCCAGCTGTTTGGTGGATTCTCCGTCCTGCTGTGGCTCGGTGCCATCCTCTGCTTCCTGGCCTATGCCATCCAGGCAGCCACTGAGGACGATCCCGCAGGAGACAATGTGAGCACCACATGTGCACATACACACAAACAGTCACAAAGATTTTGCACACACATATTCACATCTGGCCCATCCACACCTCATTAACACATCAGCCACACTCTGAAATACGGACATAAATAACACCTTTGACTGTCACACAAATTGTACCCAGTGCCTCCACACACCTGACACTCACATATGTTCAACTCTCTCTCTCTCTCTCTCTCTCTCCCTCTCTCTCTCTCCAGTTGTACCTAGGTATTGTGCTCACAGCTGTCGTCATCATTACTGGTTGCTTCTCATACTTCCAAGAGGCCAAGAGCTCTAAAATCATGGAGTCCTTCAAGAACATGGTGCCTCAGGTAAATATGCCTTTGCTCTAAAGGACTGAATGAAACCAACTTATGTCTGAAAATTTAATTTGAATTCTCTCTTATCAAATCTGGACTCAGACTTTTCAGCCTTGAAAGTGAATATACGTAGGACACTGGAAACTATAGATTCTTAATACCCAGTTAATATGTCTTTGACACTGGGAAGCAGAAATACTTGCCTCTATTCATGTCTTCACAGTGTGGCAATTTTGCTTTACAGCCAAGAGTTAGTCACAGAGTAATGTTTGCTGGCTGCTGTCCTAAAAGAGTGAGCAGTTTTGCCTTTACAAGTTTTCTTTTAGAGATTTTGCCTTTATAGGGATAATTGGTAGACAAAGACAAGCCTGTGGTAAAATACTGTCCATCAAGAACCTCCGGTTTTGACATTTATAATTGTATTGTTTTTCACTTCTTAAATGAGCCACCTCCTGTTACACACTTAAATGAAGGCCAAATACTGTATATTGCAAAAGGATGTGGCACAGCTGGTGGTTGCCACTCTCAGCCTGCAAATAGTTTATACAATGCATTCAGTGTGTTTTGATTGCGAGTGCATTAGATTTGATGAAACCTTTACTTACAGGATGTACAGTCAAACATGAACATGAAGGAAGAGAAAAGTTACTCTGCACTGCCTAGATTGAATGCTTATTCCAAATGACCGTGTTTCTGGCTGTGTGTGTGTGTGCTGTGAGAGGACGACTTCATGAGTGCTCACTCCGCCTGTTCTCGGTCGCAGGTGTGTGTGTGTGTGTGTGTGTGTGTGTGTGTGTGTGTGTGTGTGTGTGTGCATATTTTCTAACCATAACTGATATCTCCCTGCAGCAAGCGTTGGTCATCCGTGAGGGTGAGAAGGTACAGATCAATGCCGAAGAAGTGGTGGCCGGAGATCTTATTGAAGTGAAGGGAGGAGACAGGATCCCTGCTGACATCAGGGTGGTTTCTGCTCACGGCTGCAAGGTACACACACAGTTACACATACACATACACATACAAACACATATACACACACATTCAAATTCTTGATTCTTGTTATATACAACATGTTTTTATTTTTTCTGTTTCTTAATAGGTGGATAACTCCTCCCTGACAGGCGAGTCAGAACCTCAGAGCAGGTCACCTGACTGTACCCATGACAACCCCTTGGAGACCCGTAACATTGCTTTCTTCTCCACCAACTGTGTGGAAGGTATTGTCACCATGGCAATAACATTACATTCTCTGGATTTAAACCCACCAAACTGAGCTGATTAATAAACTCAACATTTATACTTTGCCGTTTGTTAAAATGTAATGGTGGTTTTATCTCAATTAAATGTGGTTACAAGACACAGATACTGTGGCTATAAATGATATTTTACAACATTATATTTCTGTTCTTTTCCTTAACCAGGCACAGCTCGTGGCCTTGTTATCTGCACTGGAGACCGCACAGTCATGGGTCGCATTGCTACTCTGACCTCTGGCCTGGAGACCGGCAAAACCCCCATTGCTAAGGAGATCGAGCACTTCATCCACATCATCACAGGTGTGGCTGTCTTCTTGGGTGTCACCTTTTTCGTCCTGGCCCTCATCCTGGGTTACAGCTGGCTGGAGGCTGTCATCTTCCTCATCGGCATCATTGTGGCAAACGTGCCTGAAGGGCTGTTGGCTACAGTCACTGTAAGTGGGCCAGTTATTAGCTACTTCTTTAAACCCTTTCCACACAGTAGTATCATATTGCATCTTTTCTTTTAGCAATTCGTTAATGTCGGTCATTTGTTTCTTTTGGACGCACAAGATTTTATTTCTTACTTATTTTAGCACCTACCATGTACATACTTTCTTATTACTATTTTGGGTCTATTTTGTTAAACTTAGTTAACTGTAATTGTACCATGAGCTCACTTTCTTAAGCATCAAGAAACAGGGAAATTCTCCCTTATAGCTTCATAGTTGCTACATCCAAATAATATATTCAGTCAACCTTAACGTGTTTTAACATCATGAATGTATTCGCCTGCAGGTGTGTCTGACCCTGACTGCCAAACGTATGGCTAAGAAGAACTGCCTGGTGAAGAACTTGGAAGCTGTGGAAACCCTGGGCTCCACCTCCACCATCTGCTCTGACAAGACAGGCACTCTGACCCAGAACAGGATGACTGTGGCCCACATGTGGTTTGACAACCAGATCCACGAGGCCGACACCACTGAGGACCAGTCTGGTCAGTGAGGAGAGGGCAAACACAAACCACTGGTGTCTGAAATATGTGTCTACTGTAAAAGGAGCAAACAGTTACTACAGCAGTGATTAATGCCCATTTTTCTGTTCCTCATTCAGGTGCCTCATTTGACAAGAGTTCAGTGACATGGCTGTCTCTGGCTCGTGTTGCTGCTCTGTGTAACCGCGCTCAGTTCAAAGCAGGACAAGACTCAGTGGCCATCCTGAAGCGTGATGTTGCTGGCGATGCCTCCGAGTCAGCCCTGCTGAAGTGTATCGAGCTGTCCTGTGGCTCAGTCAGGTTGATGAGGGACAAGAACAAGAAGGTGGCTGAGATCCCCTTTAACTCCACCAACAAATACCAGGTAAATAATGGCTAAATATAGCTGTGCACACACAAATAATAAGAACAACATTGTAAATAGCAATGCACATTATACAAATATATGGGAGGGTTTTTATCTTAACTTTCACTTCTGTTCTCCTCCTTTAGCTCTCAGTGCATGAGACAGAGGATCCAAATGACAACCGCTACCTGCTGGTGATGAAGGGAGCCCCTGAGAGGATCCTGGACCGTTGCTCCACCATCCTGCTGCAGGGCAAGGAGCAGCCTATGGATGAGGAGATGAAGGAAGCTTTCCAGAATGCCTACATGGAATTGGGAGGACTGGGAGAGAGAGTACTAGGTAAGGAATATCTACAACTTTTTTTAAACTAACAATCAGTTGAATGATGGAAACAAATCAATTTCTAAATGTAATTTACTGAGCATTAGATATTGTAGAGGTGATCTTGGGATAGGGAGAGAAGCTCTACTAAAGCACACATTTCTGTTCCTCCCAGGTTTCTGCCACTTGCTGCTTCCAGAGGACCAGTACCCCAAGGGGTTTGCCTTTGACACAGATGATGTCAACTTCCAGACAGACAACCTTTGCTTTGTTGGCCTCATGTCCATGATTGACCCTCCCCGTGCTGCTGTGCCCGATGCTGTTGGCAAATGCCGATCTGCTGGTATCAAGGTGAACCTCACATATGATCTCTTTTTTCCTTACAGTGCTTCATAAAACAGGCTCTGTTGCGAAATGTCATTGAAATCACATGAAGAAACGTCATCTTTATTGCTCTTGTTGTTGCAGGTTATTATGGTCACTGGAGATCATCCCATCACAGCCAAGGCCATTGCCAAGGGAGTGGGCATCATCTCAGAAGGCAATGAGACAGTGGAGGACATTGCAGCTCGTCTCAACATACCTGTCAGCCAGGTCAACCCCAGGTAAAGATTCTTAACAGAAAAACATACATGGTCATATAAATAATGTTAAATTATGAGGCTAACATGAACGTTGCAATGTCTGTGTTCAGGGATGCCAAGGCCTGTGTGATCCATGGTACAGACCTAAAAGATCTATCTCAGGATCAGATGGACGATATCCTGAGGAATCACACAGAGATCGTGTTTGCCAGGACCTCCCCACAGCAGAAGCTCATCATTGTAGAAGGTTGCCAGAGACAGGTGAGAAGAGCTTCTTTTTTTTTTATTAGAAATTATGTTCTAGACAATAAAATGAAATAAAAAATTGTACTTTGTTTTTTGGAAGTGACTTTGGCTTCAAAATATCATTACACTTTCACAACAGCAGATGGTGCTAGTTGTCTGTTGAATGAAGCTTCCCTGACTGACACATAAAATGTTTTCCTCACTGTGAGATGGTTAGATTGCTTCTGATATACCGAAAGGCTTTAGTTTTTATTAGTTTACATAAAAGACTTTATATTAAAATATTAACATTCATATTAGAATTTGCATACATTTTGTTGTCAGTTAGATGTCACAGTTTCATTTAAAAGATATAGGATTGTTTATTCAACTTATGATTACCAAATAAAATATTTTCTTATGTAAAAACTACAATTGGTTTTCCAAAAAAAAAAAAAAAATTCAAAAAACAGGTGCTGAAAAAGTAGAGGTTGTTTTGCAGTTTTGTAAATTTAAATTCGTGCCAATATAGTGTATTTGTGAATCACTGTCTCATATAATTTATTTATTTTGACTAATTTATTTAATATTCCTTGTGTTAGTATGAATGAAAAGAGGATTAATATGTGGCTCTTGCATAGATTGTTACAATAAAGATTGTTACAAAATAAGGGATAAATACATCTAACAATATAACTTTATTTATGCTATGTAACCTTCTGATTTTCACCTTCCCTTTTCTCATCTCTCCCAGGGTGCCATTGTGGCTGTGACAGGTGATGGTGTGAATGACTCTCCTGCACTGAAAAAGGCCGACATTGGTGTTGCCATGGGAATCTCAGGCTCTGATGTGTCCAAACAGGCCGCAGACATGATCTTGTTGGATGACAACTTTGCATCTATTGTCACAGGAGTGGAAGAAGGTGAGACATGCAAGAGACAGAACTGGAAGATTGAACGTGATTAAATCAGTAAAGAGTTTTTAATGAGAGAATATGAAAAAAATATGTAGAAATAGGAGGATGGAAAATTAGAAATCAAGTAAAATGGAAGTGTTGATGATTATGTTTCTCTGCAGATTAAATAAAACAAAATTTCTGACACAAACTCAGAGCTAGATCACTGACTTTACTTACATGATGTAACCTGTCTGCTTCTCTCTCTTTAGGCCGCCTGATCTTTGATAACCTTAAAAAGTCCATCGCCTACACACTGACCAGCAACATCCCAGAAATCACACCCTTCCTGCTGTTTATCATTGTCAATATTCCTCTGCCACTGGGAACCATCACCATCCTGTGTATTGACCTGGGAACTGACATGGTGAGAGCTGATCAAACACCCAATGCTTGATATGACACATATAGCTTCATGCCCACACACAGACACCCTTGGATCCAACTCCTTCGATATGACACGTCATACAGTACTTAAAGTTCACATTTCTTCCCCCTCCACTCAGGTGCCAGCCATCTCCTTGGCTTATGAAGCAGCTGAGAGCGACATCATGAAGCGTCAGCCCAGGAACCCATTCAGGGACAAGCTGGTGAATGAGAGGCTTATCAGCATTGCCTATGGACAAATTGGTAGGTGAATTGAAGATGGGTCAGTTGATCTAGGCTATGAATTGTCTTTGATATGGATTGAAGTTTGATCTTGGTTGCCTGAAAGTAATTTTGTCTTCAAATCAACTTTATCCCCCTTGATTGTTCACAAACAACAACAGCCGGATTATCTTTGCATCTGTCTGCAGTGTTTTTGGGGACACTAGATTAAGGAAGTCAGCAATCCTAAAAATCTGTTACTTCATCTCTCTGTGTATGTTTTTTTTCAGGTATGATTCAGGCTCTGGGAGGCTTCTTCGCCTACTTTGTGATCTTGGCTGAAAATGGTTTCCTGCCCTCCCAACTAGTAGGCATCAGGCTCAACTGGGATGACCGCTCTGTCAACGACCTGGAAGACAGCTATGGACAGCAGTGGGTGAGTGTGTAGTGTCTGTGTGTGTTTAGGTGAACCTGTGTGTGTGTGTGTGTGTGTGTGTGTGTTTCTGGGTTTTGTTACGTTATCTTACTGTTTTTCTGTCCTTCTCTGCCTTTTAGACATACGAGCAGAGGAAGATTGTGGAATTCACATGCCACACAGCCTTCTTTGTCAGTATTGTGGTAGTGCAGTGGGCTGATGTCATCATCTGCAAGACCAGACGTAACTCTGTGTTCCAGCAGGGCATGAGGTGAGTCCAACAACTATACTGTGACACCACTCTACTGAAACATATTCTGTCATTGCTAAATTGATGTTTTTTGCCAGGAAACAGTAGCATTGTATGATCTAAACTGGGTTGACAAGTATCTTAATTTCTGCATTATCATTTCTGCTCTTTAATAATGTCGTGTTTCTCTACCCAGGAACAAAATCTTGATCTTTGGCCTGTTTGAAGAAACAGCTCTGGCTGCCTTCCTGTCCTATTGCCCAGGCATGGATGTGGCACTCAGGATGTATCCTCTAAAGTGAGCACCATTACTATATATATCACGTGGATGCATATGCAGTACCTCTGATATTAACCCATATAGCATTTTCTGTTTATCATTTTTAATCATTCTTCTTCTCTTGTCTTACCCACAGGCCTACTTGGTGGTTTTGTGCATTCCCCTATAGTTTCCTCATCTTTGTTTATGATGAAGTCCGAAAACTTCTCCTCCGTCGGAACCCTGGAGGTGAGTGTTGCAGCTTTCAACAAGCGCTTAACCAACGTTTCTTCAGAGGAGCAGTTTAACAACAACATCCTGTGGTTTTTATGGGGTGGTTTATGTGCTAGACTTTGCCTTTGTTAGGTGCAGAAACATCCGGTTGTCTCTGCTTGTTGTCTCGTAAACCCTGTAAAACCAATAAATAAATGAGATATAATGTGTAAATTAGTGAGCTTACCGGTGCTGGTAGGTGGATTTTGACATCTTCTAACAGAGTCAGGCTAGCTCTTTCCCTCTGGTTCTAGTCTTTGTGCTAAGCTAAGCTAACTGACTGCTCACAGTAGCTTCCCATTTACCATACCAAAGTGTTGAACTAGTCCTTTAGCTAATACTAATAAAATGTAAATTGTCATAAAAATATGATAAAACATTGTCGAATGAACTGTAACTGTTTCTTTCTCTCATTTGCACTCCAGGTTGGGTGGAAAGGGAGACATACTATTGATCGACGGAGCATCTTTGCTCAAACCCCCTTCATCTTCCACTTATTGCTCCCTCCTGTCACTCCATCCCTGGCAAGACACACCTCCAGACGCCCCGCCCCCTTAAAGACAAAAACCGCTTTGAAGCAATTTTCATCACAACTGCCCCAAAGATTAAAAACAGCAAAAGCACCTTTACAACTTTCTACATTGACCCGCCCCCCTTTCTCCCCATCTCCTATGATACTCTTTGCATGTGTTCTCTCACTGCTGTGTACATAAACCAATATATCTACCAAACGGCAGCTGCATATTGTGTATGTAGATTTGAATGAGCTAAGGATACAAAGGGAGTGTCTATGCTCTGCAAAAAGGGCCATCCAGCTCCTTCCCCTCCCTCTTCTTCCCCTGCTCTCCCACCCTCGTCTTTCTCTGTACCTTCGTTCCTCTCTCTCTTTTCCCTCCTCGCCAACCCTTTGCTTGTCCTCCAATCACACACAGATAAAAAGATCACACAGTGAGATCCCACCGCCGACACCACTTCGACTGCCACCTCTCGCCTCCGTCTCCTGTCTGTGGAGGACCAGCGGAGTGGTCATCTCCCTGTTGTTCTCACTGCGTCCATTTTCCTTCTCTTCCGTTCTCAACGGCCACAGTGTTGTTGTTTTTTAATATGTGGGGTAGGGGGGTTTCGATGGTTTTACTTGTCTTTTTTTATTTCTAAAACGGGAGGGGGGATATGTGAGAGCTGCTTTTCCTCATTTAGGCCTAACAAAGCACACCCCATGGCGTCCTGTCCCTCCTCTCTCCCCCCTCTGTCTCTCACACCCCTCCCCTCCCCTCCCTCCCTCCTGCCCCGTTTGTCTCTGTTTGTGTGCACTGTGTGAACCATTGTCCTTGTTAATAACTATTACAGTACACCGCCCCAAGTTGATAAATACAAATCAATCTTTCTGTGTGCTCTAGGAAATCTATATAATTCTATACTGAATTTAAATGAAACAATAAAAAAACACATGTTGAAAAACAGCTCAAGAGAGACATTCAAAAGGAAGAACATTAACAATATTGGTGAGATAGGAAAAAGTGAGAGATTTGTGTCTCGTTTTGTTTTTTGTTTGGTTTCAGTTATTTTTGCTGGTTTTTCAGGAGGCTATTCTGAAACTGTAACAGCAGAGCAGGGTTTTGTGTTTTTACCAAAAGACACAGGACACCAACCAAGGCTTTCAGGTTCCTGTCACTGCAGGTGTGTCGGTATGATGTGGTGCAGTGTGCTGTGCTGTGGTGAGTGGTGATGATGAGTCCACGTGCCTGGGGTCTATTACCGGATCAGATCCAGGTCTGGTTCACTCCAGGTCCTGCTATATAGGTCGGTCCAGCCCGGGTCTGTGTGCATGTATGTGTTGGAGACCAGTGAAGGGCCAGCGGTCTCAGGCTGGGTCTATCTCAGATGGCTGAAAGGGTTGAAATTCAAGAAAAAAAAAAATTCACAACTAGTAGAACATGTGTGTCAAATAAATGAAACCAACACCAATAAAACATCTAGAACATTTAATACAACTTAGACCCGTCTGTGTGTCTCTCTGTCTCTGTTTCTGACTTTTGAATCTTTACTCTCATTTTATTCCTTCCTCATATTATCTGTCTTTCTTACCCTCACTTGAACATAGTTTAAAATGTGCATTACTAATTGTGGGTGTACACAATATAGTATAGTAAATCTAATGCAATCTATTGCCATAGCCCTGCAGGAAAACCTCCTTTTTGAATCTTGTAATATTCAATTTTTGCAAGAAAATATTTAACTCTATGCTAATTTTTCTTAATGCTACTTTGTCATACTTGATCTGACTACATATATGAATACACTTCACATAAATGAACAGCCTCAAGAAGTAATATTTGCTGACACCCTGTGTATCAGCCTCACTGTTGCCCCAATACATATATTCAAATATGAAATTATTTTTTCATTTATTTAATCAATTAATTATGAAACGAAGAAGTGATGCAGCTGTTGTGACACCAGTATTAGCACAGCAGGAATGATAAAAATAGAAACATGAGGATGGGATGCCACCTAGTGTTACGAGTTAATATGCACTTCAACCTGCAAACTGCATAATGTTAAACTGCCATAGGAGGAAGAATTGGCAGCAGTCCAGGGTAATGCACCAAACCACTGTATAAATGTGTTAGCCTTGTCTGACATCGACAGAGATGAGCTTCACTGTCAGCAGAAGTCTTACAAAGAGAATGATGTTCTACTCTTTCCCCAAACTATAAAAACAGAAATAGCACATGAATTAGGTGTCCATGAAGGAATGGGAAATTCTGTTATTAATAAAAGTTATTTCCAAAAGGTTACATTCCTGCAAACGAAACAAGGTAGTATATCTTTTATCTTTGGGGAGCAGACTGTAATTGTGCTTCCTCTCTGTGCCACAGGACTCATCTATTTTAAATGAACCTCTTATTGCCCAACTAGTACACAAATCAAATAAATTATACACAATATACAGCTCTATAATATGATAGTATTGGGTATTGTGAGAGGTCACTTTGCTGCATCCAGTGTAAATTTAGGACAGATCCCCTTGAGTGAGAAACACAAAAACTTTCCGGCACTGCTCATCCACTGTCCAATGACAAATGCAGTGTCTCCTGCTCATACATACACACACTAAGACACATGCACACCCACTTTCTGTCACTCTCACTGACAAACACACTCACACACTCACCCTCTCTCTAATTTCCCCCGTGTCCCTCTGCAGTGAGCTCACTGCAGTGCGACTCTCCTCTCTCCCTCCTCGCCACCCTCCGTATAATAGAATATCGATCGCTCGCCTTTGCCGCAGTGTGTAAGCGAGTGTGTGTGTCTGACTGGGGCCCTCCAAGGTCATCGCCATGGCAACCTGAGCATGGGGTGCTCTTGCTGTGCTGTCACAGAGCACAGGTCAGAGGGGTCACGTGAAAAGGGGGACAAGAGGGGGACCGCAGGGGGGATAAGAGGGGGTCGGTGAGCGCTGCAGTGTTTGGTGTACTACAGACGGAGGAGCCAGGAGGGTTGGAACTGTCCTATTCCACTGTGTATTCAGACCAGACCAGAATAATGAAGAAATGTACAAACTAAGTGCCGAGGGGCCACTGAGTTCACTGCGACTCGTGCCTTGCATCCACAAATATGAGTCAACTATAGTTTTGCATGAATGGAAAAAAAAAAAAAACTACCTGAATTAATAAATGGCAAAATAACAAAGAAACCAATAAGGAGCCATCTTACATCAGGGGTTTATTGCACTCCCAAGATATCATTAAATACAAAACCACACAAATTACATTAAAATGTAAACAAAGGAATAATTATTTTCAAAAAAAAATATTTCAGGTTTACAGGATGACCTTCAGATCTGAATACTGCCAGCAGAGCTGATAAATGTGCATACTGTCAGCAAAGTACCATATCCCCAATAAAAAACACCATTACTAAGCACTGACCTTTTAAGATGTCTTCTCATCAATTTATCTATGTTAGTAAGTAGCCTATTAGAAATAACAGTTTTGTTTGCGCACTCTCTCAAACAAAAGCATTGTTTCATTTGTGCTTGGTCATAATAAGAGGTTTATTTTTAAAGCTTTAAATGGCAATTGTTCTTTGGAAAATTCATTGTTTTGTAGCAGTTTAGCAGTGAGAACATTGCATGTATATATAATCTTTACATAAAGAAAAAGACAGAAGCTGTTTCCCAGATGTTGCAGGGAGAAAAAGGCTATTTGACACAAACCAGAGGCATCCACAGTTTAAAATTCATAGAGAAAGGCATACAATGTGTATGATAATGTGCTTAAATACTAAATTACAATTGAATTATTTGTGCATATGGCAAGTTATGTGTGCGAATGAATTTGAGAAAAGCTATACAGTTTGTAACCAACTATTTCAGAGGAAAGACGAGGTGCATTCTTGATACACTGGCAAAATTAAAATACAGGGAACACAGGATGCACATGTAGCTAAGGAATCACAGATCTAAGAGTAGTTTTTTCCTCAATCCCTCTGGGCTAATGCAATTACAGGGTCAAAGTGAAGCCCGATCGTCAACCAGCACCTGTTGGGAGTTCAGCCTGCTTTTCACACCGGCTCCATCAAGAGCTCTTCCATGTCTGATCCCTCCAGCTCACGGAACGCAGCATGAGAGCCAATCACAAACAGTGTCGCTCCTGACAGGAGACGAGACAAATGGAAAAGGGGGAATGTGAAGGGAAAGAACAATGAGGAAGAAGGTTTTTCTTTTAACATTTTTACACAGAGATTTTCACTCAATCCAACAATACAATATCATTTAAAACATTAATAATATCACAGAAACACAGGGGCTACAGTGCCCTGACCAGCTTTGCTACAAATGTTCCTGCATGACTAGCATAAATAATGAATGACAACTAATGTTGTTTGGCTTACCTAGAACCCAAAAGACTGCAGCTCCAGCTCCAGCCAACCAGAACACAGGCAGAGAGACAGCTCCAGCAAGGCTCATCTGGTGAGGGACAGCCAGCTCCTTGCCTGGTTGACAAGGAAATGGCAGATTTGACGACACATGCCACTAACTGTAAGTAGTTATTTGATACCTCATGCAAATCTGGTTAAGTTGACTGGTAAAATAATATCAAAATCTCAAGGATATTTTATTTTTATAGACTAGACTAAGTCCATTATTATGAGTGAAGTGTATGCACTCTATTCCTGAAGAAACAAACTGTTTCAGCATTTCTTTCCCTGTCAAAGCAACATACAAACAAATCATGTTCTGTTCGTATAGTAAAACAAGTGCAACTTTCACTTGTTTTACTATATGATCAGAACATGAATTGTTATTGCAACGAAATGAAGCACCTTTTTGTAAAAAAAAATAATACGGTTTTAAATATTTGAACTAATATGGGTGGGCTTGGTTTCTCTTGGCCAACACACACAAACACAAAGATGGATATTTAAAATATGATTCAAATATTCCTGGTGATTCCACATTAAGTAGCAGGAACACTTATATGTGACAGCTTCACTCACCGAGGACAACCAGTTTGGACTCCAGGGATTTGAGGTGGATAATGTAGAAGGCGCCAGCAAACACAGCCAAGGCAATCAGCAGCATGGGAGAGCTGATACTGAGGAGAAGAAACATTGACAGTCTTATCAATCAGGTGCTAATTTAAGCAGCATTTTTACATTTTGTTAAGTCTTAGATAAAACCTTAAAGCTTAAATCATATTATTTTTCATTTTTCTGTCTCCCTTTTTTTAATATATGCAGTGGCCGAAACAGATCTGTGAAAACCTGAACTGTTTTTAGAAAGTTCCTATATGCACATAGGGCACAGGCTGTGTTAGTAAGAGCTGATCAGCAGTAGGTGAAAATATTCCCACTGACAAAACAAGACAATACAAACTTGTTTTTGGCCTTACATGCAGTAGAGGATGAGACCCAGGAAGATGAAGGTGTAGTTGCTGTTGTAAGTTTCCACGTTTTTCACCACCCTCTGACACAACTCTCCGAAATTGCGAGGTTTTGAAAACTTGCGTTGGTCCACGAAGCTAGCCCATGGTCGAATGGACACTCGACGCCTGTCAATCCACTCTTTAGCCATACTGACTGAGAAGCCTTTAGGGAGCCAGAGCCTGTGAAATAAGACATTAAGGAGGGAATACATGAGGAAGTATTAAGTTTCTCATAAAGCAACATTCCAAACAGACCTACAGAGATTAGTTGCTCTGTTAGCTGTAGATTGGAGGTATCTGTAAAGGCCCTTAGATATCTGTTGGGAGGTGGATGATTTAATACAACTTGTCTGCATTGTAGACCAATAAACAATAGTATCAGATCGTTCAGTTTATTTCAATCACGTAGAAGGGAGAAGATTTGAGCAACACAGAATCACAACCCTCTTGATAACAGCATTACCATTACTACCATATGATTGATTTCCACAAAAACATAAAAAGATATGAGCCCTTACTTTGCCATGACTCCAACACCACCTGTGCCAGTTGGATGAGCATCATCAGCACTGAACAGATCTCCAGCCTTGCTGTCCATGTCTACAAGACAGTTCTCCCCCTTTGGAGCTCCAGATGACATCTACAGACTGTCTGCTGCAAGGCAACAGCAAGTGAACAAACACAAAAATGAGTACATCATTTTCGTTAGCTATTCATTTTTTCCTCTACAGGATTAGGTCAGCCTGTAGCAGAAATGAGAAGTAGCAATGTTTGTACTCAGTAAAATCAGATATTGTAAAGTATAATTCTGTTATTGTACCAAGACTCAGGCATCATTGATAATTCATCAATTCCAATTCAGATGAATAATCCACCAATCATATTAAATACAAAATACCAGTTAAGGTTGTACCTTAACAAAGGTGAAGAGTTGCCTGATTTTTTAATTTAATGTAATTTTAAATAGTTTTTTTTTTGAGGGGGGGGGGGGGTAATTTTCTAAAAAGACTAAATCAGCAATGAAAAAAATCCCTGTGGTATCTTGTAAATCTTGATAGCTTATTATATAATACTTTAGATATTTCATAATAGACTAACTTCTCCAACAATTAGTTTAAATTTAATAGAGTGATCAATTGTGACGTGTCATGAAAAAACAAAGTGCCAAAACATTTCACATAAAAATAAACAAATAAATAAACTAAGCTAAATCAATAAGCAAGTAAGTAGCTGGTAACTACGTTGTTACTCACATAACACTAAAGCGTCACAGTTAAGCTAGCTGCTTAGCTGCAGTGCAGTATTTCAGGAGTGGAAAAATTTGGTCAACAAAGAGAGGGCTTGGTCACTGCCACATCACTAAACAAGTAGGATATTTAAGAAACTGTTGCCAGCATACGACTACAGTCTTCATTTATAAAAATAACGTAGATAACGTTTCTAATTTCTCTACATATGTGCCGTTATATATAAAAAATATTAATGCTTAGTAAAGACAACTTTGCTGGTTGTTCAAAAGATTGTCATAGCTAGCTTCAGCACTAACGTTGATGTCCACTACAGATCCCAGCAGATAGATCGTTTTTCATCACCATACCGCACACAGCCGTGGATTGCTTAAAGATAACACAAAGAAGACAAGACCCGTCTGAACGGTCAAATCCGTAGTCGTTTAATCAAATATACTCACGGTAGAAGTTTGGTGGGAATGCCTACCGTCTTCTGTTGCTGTTCTGGTTCACGGATGTGATGTGGATGTCACTTAACTTCCTGCTGTCTAGGCGCAAAACACCGCCACCTACTGACCACATAGAGAACTGCCATCTTCTGCTGTGGTGTTTGAAGTTTGATCTTAAAGGTTAAGTTCAGCTACTAATAGCTTGCTTTCACTCTGTCATTAAAATAGTGAGTAGTAACTAAGTGCATCTACTCAAGTACTGTACTTAAGTGCAAAACTGATGTACTTGTAATTTACTTGAGCATGTTTTGCCGCTTTTACTCCACTGCAATTCAGAGGAAAATATTGTACTTGCCTTGTACCGCAGTACATTTATGTAGCTGCTTTAGTTACTTTACAAATTAAAAACTGCACAAAAACATATGAGCAGTTTATAAAATATAATGCTTTGTTATAAATTGAACTATCCAGCAGTACCTACATACAAGTAAAGCTGAAATTAGCTTTTTGGTTAACAGAAAATTGTTTCTTGGTGAGCTCATGGTAACTGTGAGCAAATCAAACAATCTGTTGATTAAGAGGCAAAATAATCAGATCAATCCATAATGAAAGTAATGATTTGCCTTATACAGCTGCAGCTCAACCAACTACAACAATGAAAACCTACATTAATGATTCAGTAATCTATAATGTAGGCTAGATGCAGGGGCCCTTTTTCTGCATTGAATACATACCTTTAATACTTAAGGTACATTTTCTTCATTATACTGACATACTTTTACTTAAGTAACATTTTCAAAGCTTGACCTTCACTTGCAAAGTAGTATTTTATAGTGTGGTATCAGTATTACTTAAGTAAAAGATCTGATACCAATTGCACCACTGTAAAAAGTTAATAAGCACAAATAGGATAATGATATTAGGCAATGCCCCCAAAACTGGCATTTTTCATTATACAACGTGAACCACTGCAGAAGAATTATACTTCATTCACAGACCAGCAACAAACTATGACCTGATCCTCTAATATTCTCTTTACTTTTTGAAGACATGCTTCTTTTCACAGTTCCTAGCGGTAGTGAGCAATAGGGAGGGCAGCGATATGTTATGGGGAAAACACTGCATGTTTTGTTTGTTTTGTTTTTTTTTGCGACACAGCTGAGACAATAGCATTAAAACAACTGACTTGTGATCAGTTGTCTTTTCTTCAGTTGTGCTGCCTCAGTGGAGAAAATCTGACTGTAGATCAGTGACATTAAAACGTGACCTGACGTCATCGTGATGGCGGAGGGTTGTGATTGGATCGTTCTTCTGAGTTATTGTGCTACTGCCAGTACTGCAAAGCGCCGTGGGAGTTTCCAGATAACCCAACGCTAATAACTAGAAAGGTGAGTTGTCAGTCGCTTTGCATTTTTAAATATCGCTTTCAGAATGCAGTAAACTCTTTTTTAATACCCGTTTCTTTTTGTGTTAACGTCGATATATAACCCAGGGCCCGTCTGTATCAAGGCCCGTGTTAAACTAACGTAAGATAACAACGTTGTTTGCAAGCAAGTAATTTCCCGTTAATGTCCGTTATTGTTGATGCAGTACACATTTCTGTCCATAATGAACGGTATATTTGTTATATTTAGTCATAATACACCAAGCTTGTTAAGTTCAACTTGTTCATTTAGCTGTATAGCTCTTTGAAGTGCCATTTTTTTCCTGATGTTTGTGATGTTTTTTTCCCTCAGAGAAACGTGACTGGTTACGTAACTTGCCAAGGGGGTAATTTGCTCCACCGGTTGCTGCTGGGCGTATAAGGAACTACTACGACTCTCCTCGGCTTCCAGTTGCTTTAGTAGATATTATTTGAAAACGACGACAACATAGCACATTCACAGCTGACATTTTGCATTACATGTTTCAAGTCAGCGTCGAGCAGACTGCGACAGTAGGTAGGTAGGTAGGTAGGACTGCCGAGTTTGCAGAAACAGGCCTTTCAACATTGTAGACGACAACACGGGCGTAACGCTTCAGTGATATGAATACATTAACATTAGCTTGGGGTTATAGCACAGACGGAGCAGACGACGTTTGTTTTGGATAGCTAGTTTTCAAGGAATGTAGCTTAGCTTGGTTTTGTCAGTCCCTCGTTGAGACGTCTGCTTTTCAGTCTTTTCCAGGAACATACCTCTAAAACAACTATACAGAATACAATTCAATTACATTTTCATTCTCACAAAATTCAGTAACTATACAGCATAGAGGAAATACGAGTATATACAACATGGCAGAAAATGGAGGTCAAACCTAATTTAGATAATGATGCAGACTTTACATGAAAAAGCAAGTATAATTTAATTTGCTGGCTTGCGCTGCAGAACAGCATTTTATTTTAGGTGGTGTTTGTAAGCCTCATAAGGCTGAGCTACAGAAGCATGCTGTTATTTCCAGACTTTGCATTTGTAGAGTTGCATCTTTACATGTCTGTTAATGTAATGTCTGTGTGTGTTTTATTTATTTATTTATTTTATTCTGAACAGTCTTGATACAGCTGGGAAGGTGGAGAGAGGCCATAGGCAGACGCTGATTATGGCTGCCGTCCATCACCAAGGGTACCCTCTCAGGGACTCGCTATACTGGGATGAAACGGAGTGTCTAAACTACTATGGGATGCTGTCTCTCCATGAGGTCTTTGAAATAGTTGGTTCTCAGCTGACAGAGACTGACATTGAGGTGCTGTCATTCCTTCTGAATGAAACCTGTTCTGCACAACACCCTCTTGACCCAGAAGGCTGGACAGTTGAGCACCATGAAGGTGATCCAGATGACTCAGATGTGTCCCCGAGTCCCGAGTTGCTAAAGGCCTGGAGGCGTCTAAAGCCTCAGGCCTCCCAGCATCCCTTAGTGGCCTCACATGAGCCCAAGAGTGGCCTTGAGCTGTTGCTAGAGCTAGAAAGGCGAGGATACCTCAGTGATGGCAACCTGGAGCCACTCCTGCAACTACTAAGAGTCCTCACCCGTCATGATCTGCTGCCTTTAGTGTCCCACAAGAAAAGGAGGACAGGTGAGGATGAATCACAGGAGTGATTGACTGCAGTGGCTGCTGCCTCTCCATATAATGACCTTCAAGAATATGTCAGTCATAACTGCATTCCTGTCCTAATAGCCCTAGCCTAATGATTGCTAATCTATGTTTTTATGCTTTTCAGTTTCTCCAGAGAGAACTGGATGGAGGTATGGAACCGAGAACAGGGAGTTGGTGTGCGTCTCTGGAATGCGACACAGCTGTAGACAGACAGAAATACCTTTTCCATCTTTCACACAACAATTGAGAACTGGTAAGTGCACTGTAGTATAGCATTTAGCTGACTGGAGATGTCAGATGTAGTTTTTAACTGTGTATATGTTTGTGTTTTTAAATGTGTCTTTAAAGTGCTCCGTTGAGCTTTGTCAAAGGAAAATTTCTCTAACTTTGTGGCAGACATTACATTTTCTTGAATCTACAATGTTTCCACACACCTTTTTGTCAGTCAAGGAGGCAGACTGTCCAAAAATCAGTGTTTATCATTGCTTACATTGTAACACTTTTACACTACACTGAACACCAGTGCCTACTTTTTCGTGAAGAGGCACTGGCTTCGTCTCCATTCTTCTGTTGTACTAGGGATGTATATGTGCATCGTTAAATAATTAAAAGTGGTTTTCCCTGGGTCAGAATTACATTACACTCAGTTGAAGAATTAAGAGTAGTTTTGCTGCCTGTGGTGAACCTTCCATGGGTAAAACAAAGGATGTTTTGCTCAGATATGGGCAGAAACAGATAAACAAAGGGCAATTAACAAAATGGGATGAAAGGAACAGAAATCAAAAAAGACAACAGCAATCCCAAAGGTACCCCATCCATGCTGATACCTTATTATCCTAATTCCACAAACTAATTCCATACCTGTTCTGTCAGGTATTTACCCTCCTATGCCTGAGCCAACCGCTAGAAGGAGGAGGAAGAAGAGGGGAAATGGCTGGAGCCGTAGGCCCAAGAAAACAGGCAGACAGGGCCAGCCACTGCATCCACCACCACCACCACCACCGCATAAAGTGTCCTGTGGTGAGTGCCGTTCCTGCATTCTTAACCTGTCCCTGCTGTAGTTTTTCTCTTGCTTTCAGTACTGCCGTCCCCCCCCCCCCCATTTTCTCTTCCACATCACCTCTCCTCCTTTGTTTTTATTAACCATATAAGTTTCAGTATCTCATTCAGTCTGTTAACTGCAGCATCAACACATTTCCTGTTTTATCTTCTTAATTCTGATGTTGTTTGTCTATGCTGCTGAACCTCAGCTTGAGTTAAGCAGTCAGCATGCCAAGTCTGAGTTTTTTTATTTATTTATTTTTTTAATTTTCATTTTTCACACAATCTGCCCATAATATCTTAAGGCACAGTAAACTTGTGCACTGAGTCAGTGTTAAATTCCTTGTGAACTTTTGTGTTACAAAGAAAAGATTCAACCATGTTTATTCACTCTCTTTTGTGGAGAAAGAAAAATGTAAAGAACAGAGAGAAAGTTTGACACATTACTAACATTTCAGAAGAACTGGACCAATTACTATGATCCAGTTATTCCTAAATAGCAGCTGGACTGCAGTACAGTTGACTGACATGTTCTTTTTTTATTGCCATGCTCTGACATTGTCATGCTCTTAACACTAACATCAACATCAGGGAAATTTTGTCACCCTATCTGTTTTTCCATTCAGTCCTTTGCACTTTTTCCCCCTCATTTAACCTTTTCTCTAACCCATTGGACTATATTCAGCTGCTGCTGTTGATAAGAGCACAGACTGGTAGGTTGTCTCCTGTCCCTTTGTCTACTCTATACTGAATGAAATTGTTCAGTCACCACTAGAAGTCACAAGAGTCAACTCTCAAACCTTGCATATCTTCTTGAAAAAGGATTTTGAGCAGTTGTTCAAAGCGATCTAACTTCTCTGGAAAGCTGCACTATATAATCCGTTAACAATGTCCCCTTCGATGTTTCAACTATTGCCTGCCTTTTTAATCAGTCAATGCTAGTTTCTCTCAGCACAGTACGATTCAGATAACACATCGGTCACTCTTTGTGTGAAGTTTGCTTAGTCATTCATGTAGACTTTCTCAAACATGTCTTTTGAACGTCCATCTTTGCCTGTTGCCGAAATACTAATTCCACAAGGACCTGATGATTCTAAATTGATTTTAAAAAATAAAAAAATAAAAAAGTAAATATGGCAATGAAGACAGCCCCTCTTAGCTATTCAGGATGAGTGATGTGCCTGTGACTATAAACATGTTGCTGTCTTGACTCCACATTTGATTCCACCAGGTTGACTCAGGATTGTGACTCAGATCGAGTAACCTAAGACACAATGGATCATGGAGACAGAGGGGGAGACTGAGGAACAAAACAAAACAGTCTGTCACTCCACTCTGTCCATACATACTGCAGTGTGTGTGATCAACTCAGTCATGCGCTCTCTCACAAGTCTGGGCGGATGCCTAAGGTAAAAGAGGCTCTCCCCCTTGTTACAACAGGGGTTGGTGCTGCCACTTTGCTCTGTATTCGATGCTTGTGTATCATAGCGTAGCTGCTCCCTACCCTGTCCCCCTCAGAAAACGTAATGTGCTCTAGAAGAAAAATCATCCTGTAATGCTATTTAGTGTTGTGAACTGTGGATCAGAAAACATTCTGTTTGGGATTCCTTATTTATCTATTTCTGACATGGGTTGTTGGTGTCAGTGTTTCACAGAACTGACAAGAGTCCTCAGTAGCAAGCCTCAAATATTTCCAAGAAGTCTTCAGCAGATTTTAGATTTTAATCTTGGAAATTTGATTTCACTAAAACCGTACTGATGGGGATATATGTGGTGAAAGTCCATTTTAAATTCCCTGATATTCACTGCGGATAATAATCCTGGTGAAGTTGACACATTTTCACAAATATGGCCAATGCATGTGTTTATTTTGTTAGACAACGACATGACTCTAAAGTAATTTGATGAAAGCCCAGCGGTTATTGTAAGCCTTGGTCATCTAGATGACATGCTAGACCATAACATGTTAGTAGCAGTGCAAGTATACAACAATAGGAATGTAAATGATAATTACATGATTTGTATTGTGTTGCATACTACACTGAAAATAGCTTAAATATGTCTGATGTTAGAGAAAATTCTCTGCATAACATTGCTGAAGAGAATGAGAACTAGTCTTTACCAGGTTTAGGGACTGAGCAAGTGCTACAGTACATGCTCCACTGTAAAGTTTGAATTGAAATTTTAATGTTGCATTCAGCATGCATAAAGTATTTTCCATTGGTGAAGTTGTAGAGAAAGTCAACACAAGTTTTGGCTGTGCTCAGTTGCAACAGTAATACAAGAGTTGGAACTTTATGTAGAACTGGCCCAGAAACCATTTACAACAACAGAAAAGCTAAAATATGATGGCATCAAAGGGTTTCATATAGTTTTAGGTTATCTGTGGTTAAGGTTTGAATTAGCTTTATAGTTAGGGTTGAGTGAAGATATAGTAAAGAGCAGCAGCGTTCACAGCTCCGAATCTTGGACAATGTATCTGGTGCACAGTCGTAGCAATCTGACCTGACTGACAAACAAAATACCGGCACTCAAAGATGGATAATCTTCTTGTTTATTGTGGCCCACAATTATTATCCATCTTTGAGTGCTGGTATTTTGTTTGTCAGTTTAGGGTTTAGTGAAGGACACTGAAGAGCTTAACTTGCAGCAGTAAAGCCCAGTTTATACCTGCAAAGACAAAACAGAAATATGCTGGACATGTTTGTGAAAGTGCCAGTTATCACCGCATGTGGGAAAACATAAAAGTGGTTGTTAACATCTGCCTTAAGATTTAATCAACTCAAATCATAATGTTGAACTAAAATGTCATGTAAGCCACCTCCTGGAGTTTCAAGTTATAAAAAATGGTAATTTGGGACACACATTCATACATTGATAAGGACTGGACCCTATATTCCATTTTGGAGAATCTAAAATGGCTGCCAACAGCTGTTTTAAAAAAAAAAAAAAAAAAAAAAAAAAAAAAAGGCCTATGTAACCTTTACTCAAGCAGTTCTGAGGAAAATAACCCAACATTGCTCTGCTGAAGGAAGCTCCTGCTGTATCTTATCTCTGTGCCCCGTGTGAGTCCTGGGTGTGCGTTTGTCAAGAGGGAGCAGAGATAGATAGGGCGGTTCAGTCCAATGCTGGCCCCTAGCATTCAAACAGACTTCAAATACTCTTCCTTGTCATGATCCAGCTCATTTTCAGTGAAGTGTCTCAATTACATTCTGACAATGACAATTGCTGTTACAAATGCCCATAAGGTGTTTGTTCCTTCAGCTCAGCAGTAGTTTTGTGCTATCTAAATGGGTTGCTTGTGAAGGCCCTTACTTGGTTTAATGGACATTGTTGATTAATGTTATGGTCGGGGCTTTAATAATTGGTTGGTGAGGGTAAGGGGATTGGTCAATGTAAGAGTAGTCCCAAGCATCCCACTTAGACACAACCATGTTATATTGTAGAGCCACAATAAAGGCATTTCTGAGCTGATTAACTTGTCAGTATCAACTATTGCCCTGACTCGAACCTCATTACAACTAAGAGAAGTGAGTGCTGTGCCATGCCTGCTTGATGTTGAAAAAACAACCCAGTCGACAGATATCCAACCCACTTGTGCTTGTCTCTTTCTCTCTTTCTCTCCTTTCTCTGTGTTCGCAGTTCTAAACAGACCAACCTGTGTGTCAGGAAAACAGTGTCCTTACACACAATGAGAGGGAGAGAACGAACACTAAATGCTCAAACTACGCAAAATGGTACAGAGGGTGATTATTGTCTATGGGGAAAAGAGAGAGTTCTGTCTGCCTGTCTCTCAATACTCCCCTAACTCTCCACTCTCTCGGTCAGTCGTTCAGCAGAAAAACGGATCGATAAAGAGTTGAAGTTCTCCGTGCCAAGTGACTCCTCGTAAATGGGTACTTAAACTTTTTTTTTTTTTTTTTTTTTTTTTTTGTGGGTGAGGGAGTGGGGGTGGTGAGATGGAGGAAGCCAAACGGGCTTGGTGTTTAAAGTGAGAAAATGAAAGCTGTGCTTCCTAATGTCCTGTCTAAGTGGATGTCTCTGTGTCTGATGAAGCGTGAAGTGCTCTGTAACCCTAACAAAATGACTATCACTGTGTTCCTGTGGTTTTAAATGGCCTTCTCCTCAGTACCACTATCTCTACCTCCATCCTGCTAAGTATGAAATGGGAAGGTAGAAATGGAGGCCATCCATAAATACAGTAATTGCATGAAGGGCAGGTGTTTATCATAGCCACAGCCCTCACACAGTGTAATGATCCAAAAGGTCGAACTGTTAACTGCGCTTTAACTTCATATTTCACTGAGTCCCTACTGAATATTGCAAAGGGTATAAAAGTAAGGTCCTCTCCACTATTCTATCCCCCTTTTAAGATGGATGCCCTGTTTGACATTCTGCTAAAACACATCCTGTCACTGATGATTTGTCAATGTGCTTGTAAGGACCAGATATGTGCAATGATGAAATGCTTTCAATCCCCCCTCCTAGTAATTTTTATGTTTTATTCTTTCACAACATTGAATCACAGTGGATGCATTTTTAGTCTGAGTGAAAACAAACCTGTACAAATTTCTAGGTTATTGTGCTGAAACAAATCTGAGCCACAGTTCTCCTGCAGTCTACAGCAGGTTTTCCTCAAGGATTTCTCTGTATTTTGCTGCATTCAATTGAGCCTCTACCTTCTCAAGCAATACAGGTCCTGCTGCAGAGATGCATCCCACAGCATGATACTGCCACCACTGCACTTCATAGTGGGGATAGTGTATTTCTCGGGCTGAGCAGCGATTGGCTTATGCCAAACAAAGAGGACAAAATCCTCAGTTTTGGCTTTGTTGATGGCTTGTCATTGTTTTTCCTATACTGACTTTTTCTGCACCTGCATGATGGTTGCGTGTACATTGTCTCTTGGTGGCCTTTCTTTTTAGTTGTTGCATCAGCACTCAATATTTAAATATGGCCTTCTCTAGACAGACACGCACTTTTTCAAGATTATGCACTGAGGGGTATTGTTGCACTGTAAGTTTTTTTGTACACTTCCCCTGACCAATACTTTTGAGGAACTGATCAGTATTAATTGGCAATTTGTTTGCAATGTTCCTTTTTTCTTCATAAATTTCGCCAGATGTTGGCAGTCCACTATTAATAGATGCTGTAAAACAATAAAACATGAAAAAAGGAGGGGGGGTGCATACTTGGTATAGGCACTCCAAGTCCTCTAAGCACAGTTATAATCTGTGGTATAAAAAGGTTTTCCTTAACATAATGTATCAATCTTGTATCTGTATGTATTGTCAATGGACTGACCTGAACAATCATTATTACAGACAAATATCAATTATTTAAGCCATTGTAATAGAACCAGGGTTTAATAATTTGTCAAATCACTATCACATGTCTCATAAACTCCTGTAAAATGTCAGTGTTTCATGTTCTTGTACCATAATGCCTTTTAATGAACAAAAACATTTTTGCCATCATTTCTTTTGTATGGGCTAACCGAAATATAAATTGAATGATCTCCTTCTTGCAAGTGGGTTTTCAATAGGATCTTATTTCCAACCCTGCATATTCAATCATGCATAACATTTGTTAAACCTTATTGATTAAGCGTCCCCTTTGATCCAATCCTCTGTTTTCATAGTAATCTAATTACAGCCATATGAAGCATGAATGCAAAAGCCAGTGTTTGGTTATCGCTCTCCTACAAATGTTAAGAGATGCAGAATCAATGCCTTAATTCAACATTTGCATTTCTAATGTTGGCATTTTCCAAACTTCATCCCCCTTGAGTCTGGCGCCATTCCCCATAGCCCCAGACAAAATATGAATGGAGAAGGGGTAGACCCAGCTCATGAGTTGAAGCATGTACCATTTATCTTTGGAATCATAGCTACTGTATAGATAACCAGGTACATACCTTCATAAGTGTTCAAGTCAGGTCTTTGGTGTGCTCTTGTAATAAGGTCCTTCTGTTCCATAACTGAAACTCTGGTCATTGTCTTCCCATCAGAGCTATAAGTATGAGCTTTACACACATACGTCTGGGTCCGAGAGATGTGAAGATATATTCTGACACATATTTTATTTTTTCCTTATTAGGAATTCATTTATTTGTCCCTTTTTAAAAGTTTGATTGAGAGCAGCGAAGAGGTTTTGTGTGTGCTGGGTTTTACATACTGGGGGATGCAATTATGGCTTTAAAACTGCTTGGAAAAAAAGGTTTCTGCGTAGCTTTGCAATGAGACGTTGATGAGACTGTTTCTAGACAAATGGATGTCATTGGCAGTGAATACTGTTTACCTCTAAACTAAAGGGGTTTGAGTGGGAGAGATGGATTTTTGTTGCAGCAAAAGTCGTCAGCAGCTGGTTTCCACTCGAAGTTCTGGAATAATGACATGGGGGACGGGCTCAGCGGTGCTCTTGCTCAGCACAGTATGTATCCTCTGATCTTTCTCGCTGTGCTGTTGCATGACCGCCAATCCTGTTACTGAGGAACTACGGGAGCTATCTGTTGTCAGCATTAAACATGTTGATCAGAATGAATGTGGTGTGTTTAAACACTTGAACAAAAAGCCACTCCAGAGCTTGACACTGTTAAGTTCCTTTCATTTCGCCCACCATGATATTTGTTGAAGGTTTCCAAGTTCATTTAGATGGATTCATTACATGAACTCTATGGCCTTAATATATGTTGAAAATGCCCAAAAATATGGGTGAAAATTCTCATCCATCAGTTTCTTCTGATCACTGGCAGCCATCTAGTTTACAGCTGACCTTAATACTTAAAACTATGGAAAACCAAAACCAAAACTAATTCTGAAGGACTAGAAGCAGTATTTAGCACAAAAATGCACACAGTTGTCATAGCTGGGTTTGTATAGCTCCAGTGCCCTAGACTATTAAGTTTGCTCTGCCCTGCTGCACCATTTTATTTGCTCTTTTAACAGGCTTTTATCAAAAGAAATATACTGAAGTATTTCACCACACAATTTCCTCTCCAGCCACGAATCAGCCTATTTGGTCACAATCTCCTTTTTGGAACTCTGCTCTTGAACCCTATTTTTAAATCGTGCCCAATGTAATGCAATGTAGATAATGTAAATGAGCTGCCATTTAACGATTTTGTCTTGTTCCTGTTTCTCTACCCTTTGTTTTGACTTCCTGACCTCCTCCCTTTCTGTTTATGTGGGCCTATCCAATTTGACTTCCACTGTTCACTTCTTTTCACTTTTTCTGTAACCTATCCTCCCTTTCCTCACCCTTCTACTGTCTTTTTTCCCTCTGTCCTCCCTCCTTTACTCACTGTATGTTTGCCTTGCCCTCATTATTCACTTTCGCCCCTCTACTCTTCTACCATTTTTTCACCCCTCACTTTCCTCCCACCACACCCTCACCCCTTTTTCCACCACTGCTTCCTCCCTCTTCCATTATCAGATATCCGCCTGCGTGTCCGGGCTGAATACCTGGAGCATGAGTCGGCACTCCGCGACGGTGTCTCCTCGGATAAGCAGCAGCCGCTGGAGCGGCAGTTTGAGTTGTTCAGCCAAGCCAGCTTGCTGCTGCGTGCCAGAGACCTTGGTTCCATCGTCTGCGACATCAAGTTCACAGAACTGGACAACCTTGAGGCCTTCTGGGGTGACTACCTAAGCGGAGCTCTGCTGGAGGCCCTGAAGGGAGTTTTCATCACAGACTCCCTGAGGATGGCAGCGGGCACAGAGGGAGTCCGCCTGCTGATCAGTGTGGACCAGGATGACTATGAGGATGGCCGAAGGCTGCTGAGAGCCAGGAGAGCCAGTAATGGTGGGCGCACAGAGACTCAGTGGGCTGTGTAGGCTGATAAGACTTTCGTGTATATTATATTGACTATGAAGAATGGAATTGTAAGGAATTCTATTGAAAGTTAAGGATACTGGCAAATTTTTGAAACATTTTTAAGGCCTCTTTTTGTAATTGCAATCCATGTAATAACCACTAGATGGCAGCACTTACCATTGGTTGTTTTTGTTCATAACAGGGCCTTCATTTTCAATAGTCATTCAGTTTTTAGTTGAACCATTGTCATTATTTGAAAAAGAAATGTGAATAATAATGGATCAATGTGCTTTTCCTTTGGATTCATGCGCAGGTGCTACTTTATAGGACACCAGGATGAAACAAGATACGTCAAGATTTTTCCTTTTTAGTCTCACTGAGAACAGGAGCAAGCAAGCCTGTGCCACAAGATCAAGTGGTAAGCCCTTCCTAACATAATAAATGTTAATTATAAACAATTATAAATAAGACACCTGGGCTGCCACAAATTACACAAAATACTATGTAGTGGTGACACACTGACATGCTCGTAGTTAGGGTTTTGGACCAAACACAGGCTTAATGAGCCACAATAATACCAAACTCTTGCGCATTTTGTCAATATTTACACATAGACAGTGGGCATCCAATTCCAACATGGCTCTTGAAATATTTCAAATACAAACTGACCAATATACTCAACAAATCATTCTTTAAAGACATTTTTGACATGAGGCATAATATGAATTTTCACTGGCACTGATGCTAGCCTAATCAAAACTAATTTAAAGAACAAAGTTACCTCGCAGGAAAAGTTTCTGTTCTTTGAAAAATGTGTGAGAAAATTGAGCAAGTGGACTGCTCTCAGTATAAACTGACCTTTGGTCTAACTTTGGAGATCCTAGTCCACATATATATACACCTAGATAACAAACACTAGGATTCTCAGCCTTGTGTACCACGATAACCCAACTTGTGATTGCCGTGGTCAGTGGATACAGCAGTTGCCAGTAGATGACAGCAGTGATTAGGGCTAGGCCTCAGCAGACCATGGAGGATTCATCATCACAAGCTTGTCAACAGCTACTCGGATAATGCAATGGTGGCTTGTGTCCGGGCTTCCAGCGAGGCCCCAGCAAGTGCTTCTCTCAGCAAGTAAAGCACAGGACAGTGCGTCGGTCAATAGAAGTGATGTTGGGGAGATCAAAATCAAAAGTGCACATCCCAGCTCCACTCAGCCCTGCTATGTTGGCCCAGTAGAGTGGCTCATGGACAGCTGTCTACTCACCCTGCTGGAACTAATGCCTGGACTTCACTCATAGAAGACGATCAATAAGGCCCCTCACTCTAAGTCCCTTCATACAGGCACGACTTAAGCAGACAGATTTGCTACTGTCTGAAGTGCAAGGCCCTGCCGGCTGGGCAGAGGGAGGGACAATGGACAATATCCATGTTTACTCTTGTGTTTTTGGTAAACAAATTTATTAACATATGTTTGTATTGTTTATAAGAGGAAAAAAAAAAAACATTATTCAGGAGAATATTTGTTAAGAAAATTTGCTTTTGGTATAGCAGTTCTTTTTGTGGAAATCTTTGTATATTAGAAATAATTTCTGGTGAATAATAAAGGTTTGATGGTCTAAAGCCATTTGTGCACATTGACTTTTTTTATAACAACCTTTATTGTATTAATAACAGAAATTTCCACAATGTTGCTGAAAATGTAATGCAACAGGAAGACATTGTAGAAATACACAAGTGTTCATTTTATTCAAATGCATTATTCAAATTTCCCCCAAACATCTAAGATTAATTTATCATCAAAATTGTCCATATTCAATTACAAACATTTTATAGACAAGCTGTTGTAAACCTAAAGTACTTGTTAAAACACTTGTGACAACCAGACAACTTAATACGTCTATAGTTTTAATATGTTATAGTTTTAAAAATGTTAATTTGTGATATACACAGCATCAAAAAATGTATTATAAGCAGTACAGTGTACATGCAAGTGTTTTTCACCTGTTTTGCTTGTAGGAAGTTCTGAAAATGAGCCGTTTCCAAATCTAACCAAAATCTCTTAAACCTAGCACCTCTTGTCATATTCTGAAATCCCTCTGTCTTACTTGAGTGTCTTTGTATCACACTTTGTTATAGTATTTGTTATTTTGAGCAGTTTTCTGAATTGTCATTTTTCCCTCCAGCCTCCCTACCTGTATTAGTGGGAACGCGCCCTCTCCCTGCCCCCAAACGGTCTGAAGAGGTCCATCGAATGCAGGTCACCGTGGATCAGATCCTTAATTATTTCTCCTTGCTCTAAGCTGTCAGCATGATGAAACTCCAGAATGGTGTGTGCTTCGAACATCTTATCAAACTACCTATCCTTGTGCTATTTCTTTCTTCCTTGTACTATTCACTTGCTTGAAGATGTGATTACAGTGAACATAATGACACGGCACTTTTGGTTTTCATGTTGAATTGTGTGACGTAAAAACCATTGCCAGAAAATTTGCCTGTATTCAATTTCAAAAGTTAAACATTTACACTTACAATTTTTGCAAACAATATGCAAAATACTTTTTGTTAATATCATGTCCAAATGGAGCATCATGAAAATGTTATTTCAAGTTAATTTCCTATAGATGGTACGTAAAATTTTTAATCATAAATCTCAGAAATGTCATATTTTAGACATTGAAGTGCCATTTTCATCCACACAGCAGCAGAATGACACAGCTTAAACTCAAACATGGTTCTGGTCCTCAGGACTGATGTTAGGAAGGATGCTTTCCTTACCAAAATTAGTGCTATATAATACCTACAAACACTTCTTAGTCTAGAAGCTGCAAGCTTGATTTTTATTTTCAAATACTTTCATATCCTTGCTTCAGATTACATCAGTGACCTCCTATAGATTTGAGATTATGTGCTTCTCTTTCACCTTTTAAAAGAAACTTTTTTTCTTTTTTTTTTTTTTTTTTTAATATTTTGCTTCTCTGTATGACTTTATACTTATTTTAGGGACTTATACTTATTATTTATTTAGCTCTGTAGTACAAAGATTATGGCAAAGTCCTCAGAATATATTCGTAAGGAGCATTTTATCCCTTGTTTTGAGGATGCTAAATCAATACTTAAATTAGGAATAGTGATAAGGAACAGAAAGAGGAGCAGAGATGAGTCAGTTTGCCAGTACATAGTTTATTTCATTGTAATATTAAGAAATGTTGATTTGTTCAACATAAGTGTTGAGTCTCTATGATAGTAAGTGAGGTCTTTGACTTATCACTGGGCCTCCTTAGACATAATTAAGTCCTCTGATGTAGACCAACACAGTCCTCAAGCACATGAATAAATAATGTAAATGTCGGCTAAAGGGCACTTCGAAGAGCCACCTCATTTCACTCGGAAATAGTAAGCACTCTCTACTGGCACTGTGATGGGTTTTAGGCAAGCTGTGGTTCAAGGTTAGGCCATGCAGTATGTAGTAACATGTAATCCGGAGATGTTATAAGTACCTCCAACAAAAATCCATCAAGAGATGGATAGCATGTTAGATAATGAACTTTTTTTTAAATTCAATCTTCCCTCTGCCTAGATTAGGTGTAACTTGCATTTAGCCTTTTCACTTCTCTTCCTCTCACGCCTCTTTTGCCTCCTGCATCCAGGTGGTCAGAAACACTTCTAAGCCTGACTTGTTGTTTTTGACCGTTTGTAATTTAAATTATATTTATTTAATCCATTATGCACACAAACTGCAGTCATCGATGCTGTGCAAGAAAGCTAATTGTAATTTTAATTGGCATTTCAGGGCACATTGTTGTTGAATTATTTCTGCTGCCAGATCTCTCTCATCTTATTTATTTTAAATGTTTAGTATTATATTGTTTCCTTATCACTTGCTGATGTTAAAACACCACCATTATAAGTTAAGTTAAGAGTGCTCTGACCACAGCCAGCCTTTAAAAATGTGGGCGAATGTATAAATGAAATTTTATCATTGACTTGCCATCATGGAGAACAGTAAGCGGGATCAACCCTAAGGGAAAAACGTGATAGGGCCGTTTCTGCCCTATTCAGAGTATGCCTTGTTTGATGGCCAGCTCAACTGCCCCAGGCCTGCCTTGGGGAAAACTGAGATTTGTGAAAGCCCAGTTCTCACCACACCCAGCCTTAAAGCAAGACCAGTGATGTGATGCCCACAGGGAGACCTAGGCACTCTTTCTGAGAAGTCTGCAAAACTATAGAGGTCCAACTCAAAGGATGCTGCCATGTTCCTCCTCTGAACAATGACTCCCTCTTGGATGACCCTGCCACTATGAGAGATTTGTTTGTCAAAGAAATTGGGGCGCATATCTGGAGCACTCAGGAACATTATGCTCACAAATATCCAAGGACAAACACAGGCAGAGCAGCATCAACAAATCCCACCCTTCTTTCCGTCAGACTCTTGTCTCCCAGAGGAATCAGATCTCTGAAGGTCTTCACTGAGGTGTCTCCATCAGGAAAAAAAAAACTCTCCAACAACCGGACTGCTATGTCCTGGACCCACTTCTGCAACTACTGACATTTCTCCAACCGACATATTTCGTCTTGCTGTAAAACTTAACCTGTCCCTTAACCTTCTCTGACCTTCCAAACATGAATCTTCCAAAAAAGATCTGTACAGAAGCCAGCATGTTTTCCACTAATTCTATGCCTGGATGCTTAGAGGAATAATGTGACCCAGTTCGACATTTTGAGAACTATACTGATTTACTTTCTTGCTGAGAGTTGAGAAGATTGATACCATCATCATGGCTATCCAGCAGCCAGTTAGCTTTACCTACTAGCATCTCTGTGTGCTCTTTGTGCAGGCATGCAGCCATGCCTAGCCGTTTACCCTGGTTTCAAGTCTTTATGATAAGCTAAGCTAAGCTAACTGGCCGCTCACTCCAACGTCATATTTCAGCAGACACAAGAGTGATACCAATCTTGATCTAACTCTCTCCAAGAAAATGAATGTCTACTTCCAAATTTTCTAACAATTACTTTAAAGAATGCCTTCACCATCCAAGGCTACATTGATCAAGGTAAAAGAGGCCACAGCTGTAGGATTGTTTTGAGTCCGAGGACAGGATTTGAGTCAGTCGTGGAGCACCCCAGGATCCTACTGAGCCTCCGGAGCCCACACCCCATCACCACCAACACAATCACATCTCCTCTCCAAGCAGCAGCTTTCAGCCAATAGGCTCCTTTGATGCCTCACTGATCTACATCCAGGTCAAGGTTTCCACAGACGGGGTCAAAGACCCCGTTGCTATGGTAACAGAGCTGGAGCAGGCCAGTGGCAGTCCTGTGATGTAGTATGCTGGGGACCAAAAGGCCATGGCAAGAGGGAAACTGATGCAACCAATATTGAAAAAAATAAAACCACATTGTTTTTTTAACGAATCAATCAGTTTCAACATGTGTTTTCACTTAATGTTTCCTGCAGCCGGGAATAACTTGGAGTAAAATATATTTTTTTCTTTTTTCTTTTTTTCTTTTTTTACAACGTAGCACACTGTGAACATTTGGTGCAGTGAATGTTCTGTTTATTGCCTAAAGCACTTCATAAAGACATCAGAGGTGGTTTTGTGTTCCATGGTGCAAATTGTATTGTGGTGAAAAAGCTAATGTAATGCTGGATTGTGTGGCCGGACACTGGTCATCATCCTCCTGTAGACTTTATTCCACTGTCCGCAGGTGTTCTTTGCACCTGCTTGATTGGATGGAGACTCAAGTCATCTTGTGGTAGCTCAGGCCTAAATCAGTCTCCTATCAAAACGTGTCATCTAAAGCTGATAGACACTATACCCTTCTGCTGGCCCACTGGGGCTGCCATTATTGTATGTATACCCTGCAGCATATGGTACATCCCTCTGATGGGGGAAATTCTACGGCTTTTATTGAGGAGAGAAAATTAGATTAGGTGATCTTCTGGGTTTCTTGGCTTTGCTTGATTTTCCTCTGCACAGTCTGTAGTACAGCTAGTAGGCAGTTGCAACAGATTTCAAACAAGATTTTTAAAAGACAACATATGAACACATTTTTCCAAATACACAAATTTGAGAAGGAATTTGTCAGGTTATTATAATTGCTTAAATTATAAATATTAAGCCAGAAAAAAAAGATTTGTTTCATTTACATATTTCCTTACGTGGTTATTCAAGACATAAAAAGCTAATTTTCCTTTGCACTAAATGTGGTGTAATTTGCTTAATAGTGTTAAATCTGACTCCTTGTATTTGGTAAATCAAATACAACAAGCAAGCCAGGTTCATCAGTCAGTGTGTCAGCTCGAGTGTGAGCAGAATCAACTGCAGGTTTCTCTGCTCATGCTGAGCAGGAAGGATTGTGTTCTCTGTGGCCTGCAGGTGGCAGCATACAGATGAATCACCAATTTGAGGAGGCCTCATATTCAAAACAGACCAGCTCCTGCTGAATATCCACTGTGTCATGTCAGAAGCATCTGTCATGTCATAAAGTTACAGGGCTTGGAGAAAAAGCTCTTAGAGCACAGACTGATTTAAAATGTGAAC